CAAGTACAAGGGGGAGCAGTAACTTCAGCCAATTATTCCCTTCCTGAATGGGACTGGTGGAGTTAGCTAGGCCTGGGTCACGTGACCTGGCTCGGACCCAATAGGTTATCTGAAATCAATTCCCTATGGTGGCAGTGCACACTAACCACACTAACCCACTAAAGGCTCATTAGTTTGACTGACCTGGAGGGGAGGCGGCGCAAAGTAATACAGTACAGGTCACAGCAGCTTGACCGACCTGGAGGAGAGGGCCAGTATACGCTGTCCCTGTCTGCAACTCACTACCACACAGCAGTGTGAAGGGTCATCTAGCCAGCACGCTTCAGAAGAATTGTAACCAAGAAAGAAAGAAACTGGGGCCTCCTGGAAGAAGCAAAAAAGATGGGAAGAGGAAGCAACAACAAAAAGTCCCCAGGTCCCAACCCTGAGAACACTGACCCACGATAGGTAAATACAAAGGAGAATTAGAACAGCAAACATGCAACATCAGCCACGGCGCCAGTGGACATAAAGAGATATATTCGAGACCTCATAGATGAGTTCAAAAGTGAAATATTTAGCCAAGTAAAGCAAGATATAAGATTAATAAAAGAGATACTAAGCACGGATGGAAGTTCAGAGTGATATTAGTCTGCTTGGGTTTTTTTCAATCTCAACGTAATTGAAGATATGGATAACTGCATGTATGTTTAAGTGTACAGGATTGAGAACCATATTTCTAAGTTTTTGTTGGATATTTGAACAGGACTGGTTGCAATCTCTCTGTTTGATTACCTACTTTATATGCTCCACTTTAGTATCTTGAATAACTATTTGTAAGAGGACAATCTGTAATCAACTAATGATTTATTTTCTTTGAAATTGTACGTTATTTCTACCCATTTTCTGTTTTGTTTACTTTCTTTAATTTTTTTTTTTTAAAAAAAGGCACTACAGTACCCAGTGCTGATCATGGAGTGTCATGATGTGAAATCCAGCAATACTATTATTCTTTGTTCAGAATGATTTTAACCTGCTTTTGTTTAATCTAAACATAAATGAAGATATGGGTAACTGCACGTATGTTTAAGTGTATAGGATTGACAACCATGTTACTAAGTTTTTGTTGGACAGTTGAACAGAACTGTTTGCAGTCTCACTGTTTGAATTCCCACTTTACATGTTCCATTTTTGTATCTTGAACAACTATTTGTAAAACAACAATATGTAAACATCAACTAGTGATTTCTGTTTATTTTTTTCTCTGAATGTATGTATTATTTCTACCTATTTTCTGTTTAGTGTTTCTTTAAGTAAAATTTAAAAAAAAACTCCATCGAAAGATGGCAAAAACTGCTTGAAAGAAACTAAGGATAGACTATCAAAACTTGCAGTCAGGTTTGCAATGTGTAATCATGAAAGGAAAGATTTTTTAAAATAACAAGCAAACAGGTAGTAACAATACAGATGCTAGAAGACAACAAGAGGATCTATAACTTAAGAATCAAAAAATGTGAGTGAAGAAGCAGGAGTAAACACAAAGGAAATACAAAGGCTATTCACAGAAATAATTAAGGAAAACTTCCCAAGCATAGGAAAAGGAAATGATATTCAGATGTATGAGGCATACAGAACTCCAGCCAACCTACAACTAAAACACAGCTACACCCAGACATGTAATAATAAAGATCCCAGAAATTCACAAGAACAATAGTAAAAGCTGTCAGAGAAAAGAATCAGATCACCTATTAAGGAAAGCCCATCAAAATCACAGCAGACTTCTCAACACAGACCATTAAATCAAGAGCAGCTTGGAGTGAAGTATTTCAAGCCCTGAAAAAAGAAAATCTCCAATCCAGATTGATGTAACCTGTAAAACTGTCTCTTGAAATTAATGGAGAAACAAGATGCTTCCATGAGAAAGACGAACTGGGGGAATTTTTGACCACCAATCCAACCCTACAGAGGATACTGAAGGACACTCTAGAGAGAGAGAAAAAAAATACCAGGATTTCAGGAACAGTGGCAGAGGGGGTTCAATGAACAGGGCAGACTGTGGAATGAAGAAGAAAAGTAGACAACTAATGGCAGAGAAAACAGCATAGCAGAAATGAGGCAGAGAAGGTTGGCTATATTCTCTAACATAGATAGCCTTGATACACACACACACACACACACACACAGAGAGAGAGAGAGAGAGAGAGAGAGAGAGAGAGAGAGAGAAGAGAAAGAAACACTGTCAGAGTAAGTCAGGAGGTAGGGTCCACCAAGATGCTCTGTATAAGAAATATAATTAAAAAGGGTTTATGGACCAAAAATCAATATGAGAAAACAATGTTCTATGTGACAGGGAACCAGAGAGAAACAGTTGCAACTCAACCAGGAACTGCACATAAGTTGGAAAGACAGGACTCTTATGTGCAGTACAGAACTACTCAGCTGTAACGAAGGAAAACCTTGAGGCTTTTGTAAGTAAAGGAATACAACTGGACATCAAGTCCAGGAATTGTTGGGAACCACTTAGGTAAATACCAGGTTGCCCATCCCCCCAATCTAAAAACTGAGGGAGTTGGTGGGACCCAAAATGTACAGTGCACCCTGTGGGAGTGAAAGGGGAGGAATTGTCTAGAATAGGAAGGCAGAGGATATTGTTAGTAGTGTATCAGGATTTAAAACCCCCATTACTCACACTGCTCTATTTAGATGGATTATATTCTGTCCCATTTGTCTACTTGTACTAGATTGGAGGGCACAGACAGCTATCCCGAAAATAGCAGGATACAGTAAGGTAATCATCCTTACTTTCATCTTTAACTTAATCTGAAGCCCTGTATAACTTACACTGTTTTATCATGATTGATCTTAGTTGAATCTGGTTAGAATGCTGTTTTGTATTGACAGATTATGTTCAAATCTGTTATGATTGATAGTATCAAGTCGGAAGAGTATAGGCAGCTACACTGAAGATGACAAGATTCACTAGGATACCCATTCTGGTTTATTATCTGCTTTTGAAGTTTTATACTGTCTACAATACTTTATTAATACAGTTATGTACTGCTATATTCAATTGTACTATGCCTGATGATATGGACAATTCTACTGAAGATAACAAGAAACAACACAGTAACCATTGTAGATCACCTTGTACTGTTTTTTTTTTGTTTGTTTGTTTTTTGTTTTTTTTGTCTTTTTCATTTTTATCAGTACCGGGGATCGAACTCACGACTGCCTGCTTGCAAGGCAGGTGCTTATGCTGCTGAGCTAAATCCCCAGCCCCCTGTACTGTGGTTTTATATGACTTTTTTGTTTCATGTTTTTATAGGAATTTGTTTTGTTTTGTTTTGCTTTTTCTTTTTCCCCTTAATACAGAAAGGACAGATGTACATGTAGAGACTTATGCATGTGTATAACCTATAAAGTTTATGAGAACTGATTATATAACACATGATGAAATGAACAACTACTTTGAAGAAAGAGACACTACAGTACCCACTGCTGATCCCATAGCATCATGATGTGAAATGCAGCAATACTATTATTCTTTATTCAGGGTGATTTTAGCCTGTTTTGTTTAATTTCAACATATGTGGAGGTATGGACAGCTATTTTGAAGACAATGAGAGACACTATGACAGCCATTGTTGACTTCCCTATTGTCTGGTCTTGAAGACCTAAAATGCCTTCCTCATCCTGTTCAGATCAGTTCTATACTATATTGTTTCATGTGAATTTTCTGTATGGGAAGATATAGACAACTGTTTGGAAGAAAACAAGAGACAATATGATAGTAAAGATCTCTGATTGTCTTGCTTTGAAATTATTGCATTATGTTCTGTTTTGTTGTCTTCTTTAATTTTACCTTCTTTAAAATAAAAAAAAAAAAAGAAAAAACCAACCAACCAACCAAACACAACCAGCTCCATGTAAAGCTTGTTCATATTATTAAAAAATTTTTAAAAAGACTTGAGGTTTTGCAGTTACTGGATAAAGCAGTAGACAGTCATCAGATTCCTCCTGAAAACTATAAATGATAAACAGTAGCAGATGGTTTCAGAAGGGAGAGATTTCAGAGGTAATCTGCAGTGGAATAAAGCTATTTTTTAAACTAGATAATAATAATTCATACAGACAAGTAATAATTCAGATAGTATCTCTTAATTATATGCTACAAAATAGCCCAAGAGATCTTTGCCTCAGAGCTTAAAATAAAAACACTACTAGCTAATACTGTTAGGGTCTGGTGACTCAGTCCTGTGTGAATCCCTTTCTTATTAACACAAGATTATACAACACAGTGCTTTTCACACTTCACTTTTCTATCACGCCCACTTTTCAACTTAGCGTCTAACTCGAGAGGAAAGGAACAGCACCTCTCCATCGTGGAAAGGACTGAAAGTTTTCCCCATAACCCAAGGTAAGAGCTGGGGAAGAGTCACTTCTGCAGTGGGTGAGCATAGATGCCTGGCAGGATCATGGCCAGGTCAGTGTGTACAGCGCCGTGCACAGTGCCAGGGCCGCCCAGTACCCTGACCTCTCTGATTGGCCAGTACAGCAGGGCTACTACTCATGCCAGAGTACTGAACCTGGTGAATCTGCCAAACATACTTGACAAATCGCTGAATCCTAAGGCATGGAAGTTCCAAGTTGGGAAGAAACACATTAGAGACACTTGCTCTAGTATCTATTCTTCATGAACCTACTGCCAGAGTGAAGGAAATGACACCAATGAGTAGTGTCACTGTGTAAATACTACTCCTGAGCCTTAACACAACTGGCTACACCAATTCTGTTTCTCTTCATTCTCAAGTCACAAAGCACTTCAGCAGAGTTTGCTATCATCCAATGGTCTGAAATACTCCTTGCTGATGTAGTACAATCACAGACAAATCATCTTAAAAAACAAGTTTAAGAGCACAGTGGTAGTTGGTAGTGGTATTAGACGTCCTAAATACTACTTAAATTCTGAGGTAATGTGCAGTCTGTTGTAAGACTCCCAATTAGGCAGAGACATGAATATATACAGTTTGATGTTTATTAGTAAAATTGGTCTAGCAAAAGGAAAGGGTCAAAATTATACAAAGATAAAAGTTCTTTTTAGCTGTACTGGAGGATGTTAGCTTTTCAGGGGACATTAACCAGTCCTAAAATAGGACCTAGGGGTATGTGTGCATCAACTGAGTTAGGGCAGAAGGAGAAGATAAACAAAAACAAAAGCAAAAAAACAAATTCTTAAAACTAAGAAGAGATGGCCTGAGGGGAAGAGGTCCCTAGACTGCCCAAGTTCACTGGCTGAAATAGGCTTCCAGGTCCTCCATGTCCGTGTCCAGAGACGAGTTTAAAGAGGCCAGAGCAGATGATGCACCCTTGGGTTTCTGGACACTCGGTTTGGTGTGAGGCATTTCCAGCTGGCTCGATTCCTTTTTGATGTCTTTACCACCATTTAGGATCCTCTGGCTCTCAACAAAGAACTGATTAGGATGATTCAAAGAAAAGCCACAATCATCCACCTGTTCAGGGAACAAGTTTATATCACGTTAATGCACAGTAAAGGTGTGATACCTACAAAGCTACCAAACTGCCCCCGCACTCACTCAAAACTCATTTATTACCTGTGATGTGGAACTAGCTGTCCTTGTTCGTAACCGTCAGTCCACTACTTGCCCCTCAAATACTAACGGCCACCGCATTTCTACACCTAGTCCAAAGCCAGGTGTAGAACAATGTCCCTCTTCCCTAGCCAAATCCTACTCACTGCAGAGAGCTCAAGGGTGGCTCAAACTATACATCGAGCCTATCCTCTCCGCCCCCCTGCCCTCTGCTCAAAGTGACTGGTATGAGCAGTGTTCCTGGAACACACCAACACTTCTCTCTCATATCAGTTCCCAACTCACACCCATTTCATGTGTCCCTGTCCTGGCAGCACCTAAACTACCAACTCTTCTTGATCACTATCTCAAAGTGTGTTTGGTAGGGCTGGTGGTGTGGCTCAGTGGTGGAGCATTTGCCTAGCACGTACAAGGCTCTGGGTTTGATATCCAGCATCATCAAAAACAGAACAAGTACCACCTGCCTAGGAAGTGTGAGGTTATGAGTTTGATTCCCAGTACCAAAAAAATAAAAACAAAAAACAAGACAAAAACCCCAGAAGCAACAACAACAACAACAACAAACCCAGAACAAGTCTGGGAAACTATTCGGGTGTTTATGTTCTGCAGTGAGTGTTACTGACAGATAAGGAACTATATAATTCATTATTTTATCTCCAGCTCCAAGTAAAAGCTTAGAAAACTGAACATCAATAGATAATTTTAAAAAATAATTTCAAAATTGTTTTTTATCATTTTGATACAGATACTTAGTACCAATCATATTTTAGAGCATATTTAAAAGTCTGGTACAGGTAATCTCATTTTGTATAATACAAACTCTGGGTAAAAGCAATGTAATTTATGTAACTTCTTCACTCTAATCGTTGGCACTCCATCTTTTGTAGAAAATCTTTTAAAACGTTCACTGTGGTTTAATGGAAAATGTTAATAGTTTTAAGCTACTTTTCTCAAATACTATCACTAATCTTTAATTCTGAATATCATCTCATATTTCTTATTACTCTGTGCCTTTTCCACCCAGTGAGAACTTCTGGGAGCATCAATATTTCCTATTCTTGAAGACTCAGGAGGTATTATTTCCATATTTTGGTTCTAACATTTACCAGTGGCAACAAAAATATATTTCTTAATCTCAATATTAAATAATGGATACTGCGTGTCAAACATTGTGATAAGTGACATAAAAATACACACCCTATAAACATTTGAATTTGAATTCTCACAACAGCCCTATGAAGGTAGTAACAGTATTCTCTCAGTTTTTCAAAAGAGGCATCTGAGAAAGGGAAGCCTGAAGCACTTTCCCAGGATCACACACTAGCAGGGATGGACAGAGAACAAGACTTCACAGAACCCATGCTCATCCTGCATGCTCTAGGGCCTGACCTTGTGTTAAAGTCAAATCTGCTGTACTTTTTCCTTAAAACTTAAAATCTTGAATGAATCTTGCTCACTTTTATAGCGGTGAGATGTAAGAACAAGACAACAACAGGAACTTTCTCAGAAATGACTGTTTCAAGTTACTTCCTTCACATTCGACCCATGGGTTAGGCTGAGCTGCTCCTGTGTAACATCCACCTGACTCAAAGACATGCGTGTTGGCTTCTGCACTTGGAGGTGATAACAAAATACCATTTTGCTTCAGTGAGTTACTCTGTTTTCCTTTTAGGTGGTTGATATTTTCTTCTATCTATCTTGCATTTATTAATCTTTTTACATTTCTTTTATTTTGAAGGGACTGGCACAGAGTAGGTATCTAAAAAATATCTAGTAAATTGAGCCCTGGATTAGCCCGTGTCCACCAGTCACGTATTTCACATGTGAACTGAACATCTACTATGGATAAGACCCAGCATATGTGAATACACTTGACTAACTCTAAGGAAACTCTTAGTCTAAGTCATATACTTAAAAATGGAGAAGGCATGGGAATCACAGATAAAAGTCTGTTATACTCTATAGCAAAGAAAAGCTGGCTGGGGAAAGCAAGGAGACTTCTAAGGACATGCTGCCGCAGTATGAAGAAAGATACAGAGGACAAAATTCAGGGAAAGAAGGGACCATGACCACACAAGCAAAGTGAAAGGAATGTACTGAAGACGTCCACATGGCCTGGTGTAAAAGCAAACAAGAAACGCGGAGGGAAGACTGGCAGGAGTCAGGCCTGAGACAGCCTAGAAAGCAGGGTAAGTAAGTAGTATGAGTGATTCTCTGGGCACAGGGACACTCCTCAGGAAGTGAAGTGGGATGGGTGCAGTCGTGCATAATCTTACGGTGGAGTAAGATGGACTGGCAGGGGGAAAGAATTACAGTTCACAATGATCCCACCTGATGGGCGGAGCACTAGGCAGAAATAAGGTATTCATGGTTATAGGTAGACACCCCAGGATTCTCTGATTCTCTTTAGTGAGATGTTAAGAAATCTGGGCCAAAAATTTTACAGTGACTTTAACATACAGCATACAGGCTTATTTTAAGAATTATTGCCCAAGGGCCGGAGATATAGCTCAGTGACACAGTACCCGCCTGGCAAGTGCGAGGTCTTGAGTTTGATTCCTGGTACCAAAACAAACAAAAAGAATTATTGCCCAGATCACAAAGAAAAACTTTTCTTTGTTTTCCTTTCTTAAAATTTCAAAATAGTTTCTGAATGTTTTACAATGTAGCTATAATTTTTATTAGTGAGTCATTTTTAAATTTCTTTATATTTATTTCACGTAATCCATTAAAATCAAATATAATGCTATATTTGCAGTTTCATGAAAAGTTGATTGCATAGCATATGTTAATCAGAAGGATTTACACCTTGTAAATAGAGAAATTAAGAGATCAGAAGGACCCTGGAGATGCTTTATATGGAACCTTCTCTATTAATACATTAGGAAACCCCAGAGACCAAGCACTGTGCACTCAAGAAGGCAGTGTACAAAGCTGTGAGGTGAAGCTGAAGGTGCAGTGAAGAACCCCGAGGTTTGGAGAAGTCAGGAACATGGATCATCTGAGGAAACCTGCAAGGAGGGAGCAGAGCAGGCCCAAGAGAGAAGCTGTGGGAGCTATGAGCTCAGCAGTGCCACAGGAGCAGTCACACAAGCCGTGTGGAGTCACATCTGCCTAGAGCAATAATAATACATGGAAGTTTTTTCTTGAATCTAGCCTCAAATTGTTTAATTTTTAAAAACATCTATCATAAAAGATTACTCTTCCAATTAAAATGATTTATTAGACTTCAGTGTGGACAAAACGAAATACATTACTTTTATAAGACTTAGTTTCTTAATCTAAGGTGATAATAGTTCCATGCCACACAGCTGCTATGGAAAAACCAAAAGAATATAAAAGTTTGAAAGTTACTGGTTTCATGCAATGTAAATGAAATTTTCAGAAACTGTCAGGAAAGCTAAGACATTTAAAAATGTTGAATTCTCAGAAGGATAAGAAGAAAGATCTTGTTTTATACATGCCACTGTTCCCATCTCACTTTGAGGAAACTGAAACTAAAACCTGTTGCTACTATATTATAGATATTAAAGTAAGATGAAACGGAATTTTAGTAACAAAACTATATTCAACAGGCCTTTAACAGCAAAAGACAAGCAAGCGAAGACATGTAAACATCCTATCTTTAAAATAATTTTGAGGAGTGTACTTACTTTCTTTTTTCAAAATTTTATTTAAAAGGAAAAAGAGAAAAAAAAAAAAACAAAGCAGTGTAAGGGTACAACTAATACAGAACTACAAAACAAAAACAAAAACAAAAACAAAAACAAAAACAGTAAGAAATCACCAGTTAATAGATTACACATTTTCGTCTTAGAAATAGTTGGTCAAGTCACAGTATCAAACCATACAAAGTGAACATTCCAACAGAGAGACTGCAAACAGTTGTGTTCAATGATCCAACCAAAAACATTAATATGGTCAGCAATTTAACGCCCCTAAACACACTTGCAGTTGTATCCTTTAGAGCACTTTTTTTCCCTCTCTTTTTTACAACAAAATTTACACATTTTGGGTTTTATTACTCCTTCGTTCTCAGTACTTTTTTTTTTTGAAGAGAATAAAGTCAAATATGGCAAAATGAAGCTGTCACTCAAAACCAAGGACAGACATAGTACATGATGTAAGAACAGAGTACAAGGTTATCAACAATGGTTACCATAATGTCTGTTTCCTTGAAAAGAATTGTCTATCTCATTAGGTATTATAAAGTTGAACAAAACAATAGAGAACAAGACCAATAAAACTTAAACATTGTAAACATTACAGGATTTCCAAAGGAGACAATAGTCAAACCAGAATGGGCATCTTAGTGAATCTTATTGCCTTCAAAGTAGTTGCCTGTACCCCCAAACTTGATACTATCATACAGAATAGAACAGAGTCTAATCAGTCAAAACAAGATAGTGGGAGTACTACAGGACTTCAAAACAAGTTAATAGGAAATCAAAAAAAGTTACTATAATATATCCTGCTAGTTATTTTAATTTTTCCACTTAATTAAAAAAAACATTAAAAATAACTAATTTTTTTTAGTGAATAAGGGAGAGATTGAGATAAAAGAGGACATAACAACATAACAATACAGGTCAAACCATGACTGGTTCAGGAACCTAGTGCTTCACCACCAAATAACCTGACTTAATAGTACTTACCATAGTGTCTGTCTTTTTCCTTGAAATATTTGAATATAACTTAATGTACTATAACTTCAAATATTTCCATATCAAGAAGCCGAGAATAAAGCCTTTCCAATTAATAAGTAAAAACTTTATAAGGCTTCAAGGTCACATGATAGGGAATCATGATTAGCACATACTTTTATATATTTGAATCATTGCTTACATTAAGGAAACTATTTGGTATTCACACATGTGAGATTGATTTATTTCACTTATGAG